CCACTTCCAAATACCATCACTCGGGGGATTAGATTTCAACATATGAATTTGGGGGACACACACAGTCTGCAGCAAGGAGGGATTGTGTTTTGTTCATTTGTGTGGCCCCATTACAATACACTATGCCTGACATATGATAGATGTTCAGTTCATATTCATTGAATTTGAGGAATGAATGCATCCATGAATGAATTTGTTAACAAAGAAATGAATGGCTCTGACAAATACATATATAACTTTTCAAAAACATGTTTTGCTTTAGACACCATCGATATTTTGTGATTTCCTGGAATTCTTTCATTTATATGAGTTTTCAATTCTATTTTTTTCCCAGCCTTTATAGAGATTGAATTGAGGTATAACATTGTGTAAGTTTAAAGTGTGATGATTCAATACATGTATATATTGCAAAATGTTTTCCATAATAAGATTAGTTATATCCTTCACCTCCATGATTAACTTTTTTTTGAGAACCCATTTATTTCTTTAAAAGTTTTTGGTACAACCTGTGGGATCTTAACTTCCCCAAGCCCTTGGCAGCCAGAAAACAGAGCCTAACCACTCTGTCCAAGCCCACCAGGGAATTCCCTTGTTGCTGTTGTTACAATAAGAGTAGTAAACTCTCCCTGTGGAGCAGCCTGCAAGTATATAATAGAGTGTTATTAACTATAGTCACCATGCTGTTCACCAGATTCTCGGAACTTATTCATCTTATAACTTGAAGTTTGTATCCTTGACCAATATCCCATATTCCCTGCCTCCCCTCACCTAGCCCTTGGCAACATTGTTTCACTCTGTTTCTATTAATGTTTTTAGATTTCACATATAAGTGAGATTATACAGTATTTGTCTTTCTCTGACATTTCATTTAGCATAATATCCTCAGTGTTCATCTATATTGTTGCAAATGGCAGGATTTCTTTCTTCTTTATGGCTGAATAATATTCCATTGTGTATATGTGTGTATATCTTTTTTTTTTTTCCTTTTTCTTTTGGCTGCACTGAGTCATTGCTGTGGCACTTGTGTTTCTCTAGTTGTGGTGTGAGGGATCAAACCTATGTCCCCTGCATTGGGAGGCAAGTTCTTAACCACTGGACCACGAGGGAAGTCCCAAGTATCACATTTTCTTTATCCATTCAACCATCAATGGATATTAAAGTTGTTTCCATGTCTTAGCTATTGTGAATAATGCTGCAATGAGCATGGGGGTACAGATAGCTCTTGGAGACACTGATTTTATTTCTTCTGAATATACCTAGAAGCGCAATTACTAGATTACATGATAGCTCTATTTTTAATTTTTTGAGGAACTCCCAACCTGTTTTCCATACTGGCTGTACCAATTTTTATTCTCACCAGCACTGTACCATGATCCCTTTTCTCTGCATCCTCACCAGCGTTTGTTATCTTTTCTTTTTGATAATAGTCATCCTACTGTGTGAACTTCTCTTATATATTTTAAGCTTACAAAATGATTGGAATTGTCATGTGTTTTTATTCATAAAAACTGAATTTGTGCCTTATCTTTTATTTTTTTTGTGCCTTATCTTTTAAAAAGAATATATATTTAAAGATTTTCTGGAGTTTCATCAATTTTATAAGTTCTTTTAAAGAACCAATTTTTAACTCTGTTGATTTTCTTTATTGGCTTGCCATTTCCTGAATTTCCTTAAAATTTTCTTTATAAAATTATGTGTTTGTGATTTAAAATATAACATAAAATTTGCCATTTTAACTATAACTAACTTTAAAGTTTGACTAACTTTAAGTGTTCAGTTCAGCAGTGCTAAGTGTATTCACATTATTGTGACTTCAATCTATTTCTAACCCTAGTATCAAAGTATTCTCTTTGGGTCAGTGCAGTCTCTGCAGTGTTCCTCACTAAATCCTCAGAATCATCACAAAAGTGAAAGTTCAAAGTTTATTCCCAGGAGGATTTAGTAACTATTACACTGATGGGAATCAGTGAGTCCAGGGACACCAATAAATCACTGTTTCACTCCTCCTGTCCCAATCACTTGGAATGTGCCAGGTTTGTTTCCATCGTTTCTATTTTTATTTTTATTGTGGAAGGAACATGGTGTGGTTTTAAATGTACTTTCAGTCAGAAGCCAAAAAAAAAAACCTGCCCCCTCTTGGGTATAGATTTCTTAAGAGTGGTAGCATTTACACCTACCAGCTTGTAATTGATGTCTCGAGCATAAAGTTTGCATTCCCTTTTAAGTAAATGTATTTCCTTTCCTTGTAGAAAGTTTGGGAAATATTTTTTAAAATGAAGAAAATATAAATAAATAAAATTCCAACCATGTGAAATGAGTTACCGTGAAGGTCTTCTTCCCCTCCAGCCTTTTATTTCTTTATTGAGGCTGGGGTGGGTCTTCCTTGCTGTGTTCAGGCTTCCCCAGTTGTGGCTCAGTAGTTGCAGGGTGTGGGATCTTAGTTCCCTGACAAGGGATTGAACCCGGGCCCCCTGAATTGGGAAAGCAGAGCCTTAACCACTGGACCACAGGGAAGTCCCCATCCCTCTAACATTTTAAAACATTCTCTCAAAAAAAAATATTCTTTCTAGCCCTGGAGACCATGGGTGATGAGGGATCAGGGTTGTTTGGGGAAAGGGAAACTGAGAAAAGGCGGTGACATCCAAGGAAGGACTGGGTGGGCAAATTACCCACTCTTTGCAGAGGGGAGGAGGTAATAACACAAAATACAGGACTCTTTTAGAGGTCTTGGATTTGGAAATCAGGCCTTGTTAAATCCTTTCACGAGGATCCTTTGGAAGGCAGTGAGACAGAGGGATCGCCTCTCCCTCCTAGCCTCCATACTTTTACCAGAATGTTCTGAAGCATTTATTTGGGAAAAAAAAAAAAAGACTGTTTAAAGCAGGCCTGAACCTCCTGGATTCTGCAGCTGGGATAGAGTAGGACTGGGAATCTCTATTTTGTTGGTTTTGGGAAGTGCTGTGTGCTGTGCTTAGTCGCTCAGTCATGTCTGACTCTTTGCAACCCCATGGACTGTAGCCCTCCATGGACAGGCTACTCTGTCCATAGGGATTCTCAAGGCAAGAATACAGGAGTAGGTTGCCATACTCTCCTCCAGGGGATCTTTCCCACCCAGGGGTGGAACCCAGGTCTCCCACATTGCAGGTGGATTCTTCACTGAGTCACCAGGGACACCCTTTGGGAAGTGAGGCCATGATTAAATGGCATCCCTCTTAACGTATGTCCCTGGAGGCATTTCTCTTGCACCATTAGAGGTGCAATTGTTAGACTGGCATAAGTAAAATATTTTCCTATGAAAAAAGTAACAGACATTCCTATGGTTGATTCATGTTGATGTTTGGCAGAAACCAACCCAATTCGGTAAAGCAACTATCTTTCAATTAAAAAAATAAATAAATTAAAAATTAAAAAAATAAAAACAAAAAAGGAACAGACATTGCCTCTCAGTATACGTAAATGATGCTTGCAGGACCACATGCCTTTTAGAGGCATCATGGGAGCCTCAGAGAAACTGCAGAGACCCTGCCAGGCATATCCAAAGCAGCTCTCAAGCTTCAGAGTGCATCAGAGTCACCTGGAGGGTTTATTAAAATACTGACTTCTGGTGTTGGCTATAAATTGGCACTTGCCGTTGGCATTTGCCATCCACTGCCATGAGGATTAAATCATGTGATGCTAAAGCTACTGATTGTTAACACTCTGAAAAGAGTTCAGGGTGGAGAGCAGAAATGAGGCTCTCTGTCCTCGAGGGTGGGCAGGAATTGGCATGAATGGTCTTCGGATAGATATTTTCAGGACCTGATTTTATGAACCCAATTCTTCTATCTCCTCATTTCTAGAAAAGCACTAAAATCCTTTATGGCGACAACTAATCCTGAGACTAGCAGAAAACTTTTGCAAAAAAATACGTGCTTGATTGCACAAACGCTCCCTTCACCAAAATCATGTATATATTGACCTTCCTCCTGTCTCTTTTCCCTGGTGGCTCAGACAGTAAAAGCTTCTCCCTACAATGCAGGAGACCCCGGTTCAATCCCTGGGATGGGAAGATCTCCTGCAGAAGGAAATAACAACCCACTCCAGTACCCTTGCCTGGAAAATCCCATGGATGGAGAAGTCTGGTATACTACAGTCCATGGGGTCACAAAGAGTCAGACACGACTGAGTGACTTCCCTTTCACTTTCCTATCTCTTTGGAGCAGTTCCTCAGAGCTATCTGAGGTGTTCTCTCCCAGGCTGTAGTCCTCATATTGCCCCAAATAGAACTTAACTCGCAGTTGTTACATTGTGGGGTTTTTTTTTTTTAAGTCGACACTGGGCTCCACTGACCTAGTGGTTGGGGGTGGAGCCCAGAGTTTGCCCCAGAAGTTTCCAAGTGAGGGATGCTGTGTGTTCAATAACTTCTGCTGACTGAAGTTGCACCACCCACCTCCAACTGTAAAGGATGCCTCCCAGAGTCAAGCAAGATTAAGCAGTTGTATTCAGGNCCCAGAAGTTTCCAAGTGAGGGATGCTGTGTGTTCAATAACTTCTGCTGACTGAAGTTGCACCACCCACCTCCAACTGTAAAGGATGCCTCCCAGAGTCAAGCAAGATTAAGCAGTTGTATTCAGGGTTCATTTGTATTTTGCCCTGAGCCTAGTAACCCAGTGTCTTCCCATTACTAAAGCAGGACGTTTTCTCGGGAAACTAAACGAAGCACTTTTAGCAATGAATGAAGTGGGGTTCTTTTGTTGTTGTTTTTTAAATCTCTCCTCATTCAGGCCTTAGACTAAAGCTACTACAAGGTTTTCTTTTACCACTGGAAATAGCTCATTGTCATCAGTGGGGTCATCTATCTATAAAATGATCTCAGGGAGGATTGTAGTGATTCCTCAAACAGAAGCTACCAGTACCTGTAACACCAGCACTTTCCACCAGCCTGTATGAAAATACATCATCAGTGTTCTGCTTGTAACTAAGGGGTGGGGGCAGCTGGGAGGTGGAAAGAAGGGAGGATAGTTGAGCGGCTCGGCGCCGGCGGGCCCGGCCCGGCTCGCCGCGTTCGCTCTGCTGACCTGCAGCCTGTGGCCGGCGCGGGCGGACAACGCGAGCCAGGAGTACTACACTGCGCTTATCAACGTGACGGTGCAGGAGCCCGGCCGCGGCGCCCCGCTTACATTCCGCATCGACGGCGGGCGCTACGGACTCGACTCGCCCAAGGCCGAGGTCCGCGGCCAGGTTCTGGCGCCGCTGCCTATCCATGGAGTTGCTGATCATCTGGGCTGTGATCCTCAAACACGGTTCTTTGTCCCTCCTAACATCAAACAGTGGATTGCCTTGCTGCAGAGGGGAAATTGCACCTTTAAAGAGAAAATATCAAGGGCTGCTTTCCACAATGCAGTTGCTGTCGTCATCTACAATAATAAATCCAAAGAGGAGCCAGTCACCATGACTCATCCAGGCACTGGAGATATTATTGCGGTCATGATTACAGAATTGAGAGGTAAAGATATTTTGAGTTATCTGGAGAAAAACATCTCTGTACAAATGACAATAGCTGTTGGAACTCGAATGCCGCCAAAGAACTTCAGCCGTGGTTCTCTAGTCTTCGTGTCAATAACCTATATTGCTTTGATGATTATTTCTTCAGCCTGGCTTATATTCTGCTTCATTCAGAAGATCAGGTACACAAATGCCCGGGACAGGAGCCAGCGTCGTCTTGGAGATGCAGCCAAGAAAGCCATCAGCAAATTGACAACCAGAACAGTGAAAAGGGGTGATAAGGAAACAGACCCAGACTTCGATCATTGTACAGTCTGCATAGAAAGCTATAAACAGAATGATGTTGTCCGGATTCTGCCCTGCAAGTGCTTGCACGGCACCAAGAGGCCGCAGAGCTGTGAAAACAACTCGCCTTCAATGTAGACGGCTCACCCCACCCCCAGCCATTGTTCTGATCAGTCTAGCTCACAGTGTGTTGGGAAGTAGGAGAGTGGGAAGGCATTGTTTCAGTGTTACTGGTTTTGTTCCCTTTTATGTTCTATACTTCCACATATCCCCAAGTATTTCTGTATCCCAAAATATTTCTAATAGGAATAAAGGACTTTTCTGAAGTTCTGGAAAAAAAAAATCTTTCATTAGATTTGTCTAATTGTAACAAAGTGCTGTGTCTTTTAGAACTTTCAAACAGAAAAACCTCTGTGTGCACTAGGGGTTATAATTCTACGGCTTTCAAACCACAGACAAGCTCTCCAAGGCTCCTTTTCAGGAGCTGAAGGTCAGCTCGCCTAAGTAGAATCTTCTAAATAAATCATGACTCATCAATCAGCCCATCCATTTATACAGCTCCTATTGGGCATGGAAAGTGGTCTGGGAGAGCAAGTGTATGACCAGGGGGCATATTGTTAGGCTCTTCTCCGGTTACACTGTCTTCTCTAATAAAAGAAAGATAAAGGAAGAAAAAGATACTCAAAAATGCCTGTGTCTCAGATGTACAGAACAGACTTTTGGACTCTGTGGGAGAAGGCGAGGGTGGGATGTTTCAAGAGAACAGCATCAAAACATGTATATTATCCAGGGTGAAACAGATCACCAGTCTAGGTTGGATGCATGAGACAAGTGCTCGGGCCTGGTGCAATGGGAAGACCCAGAGGGATCAGGTGGAGAGGGAGGTGGGAAGGGGGATCGGGATGGAGAATACATGTAAATCCATGGCTGATTCATGTCAATATATGACAATAACCACTACATTGTAATTAGCCTCCAACTAATAAAAATAATTGGGGAAAAAAAATGCCTGTGTCTGCTCACCAACCTGACACTATTAATAAGTAGGTAGTTTCTCTGAACCACTGCCTTTCTGAGAAAATTTGGAAAATTGGGTGTTAGCCTTTGGGGAAGATTTTCCTTAGATGCTGAAGAGGTTCAGAGACAGCTCTTCTTTATATTATTTATCAGTGTTGAAAAACAATTAGAATCCCATCCTTCCCATCCCATATGCCTAGCTAAACTCACACTCTGAACATTGGCTTTGAGCAGAAAAGTTTTCTTACAGGACCAGGCAAGGATATGTGTGGCTTATGGTCTAAAAATCCCTGAGCAGAAGAAACAGATTTTTTAAAAATATTTTTTTTTTATTTTTCTCTGTGCTGGATCTTCATTGCTGCGAGGGTTTTTCTCTAGTTACAGAGAGCACAGTCTGTCCATCATTACAGTGCTCAGACTTCTTTTGTTGTGGAGCACAGGCTCTAGAGCTTTCAGGCCTCAGTAGTTATGGCCTTCCCTGGTGGCTCAGATCTGTCTACAATGTAGAAGACCTGGGTTCGATCCCTGGGTCAGGAAGATCCCCTGGAGAAGGGAATGGTAACCCACTCGAGTATTCTTATCTGGAGAATTCCATGGACAGAGGAGCCTAAAGAGCTACAGCCCATTGAGTCCCAAAGAGTCAGACACAACTGAGCAAACACTTGCTCTTTTCAGTAGTTGGCAGTTCAGGGCCCAGGCTCATAATAGCTGTGGCCCACAGGCTTAGTTGCTCTGAGGCATCTGGGATCTTCCTGGACCAAGAATCAAACCCGAGTCTCCTGCATTGGCAGGCAGATTCTTTACCACTGAGCCACCAGTGGAGCCCTGAGCATTTTTAGAAGCCAGGTGAGGGAGATCCCTGGTGGTCCAGTGGTTAAGACTCTACACTTTCATTGTGGAGGACCTGGGTTCAGTCCTCAGTCAGGGAACTAAGATTCCGTAAGCAAGGAGGTGCGGTCTGGAAAAAAAAATGCCAGTGAAGGAGAGGGGTCCCAGGCAGTGTTATAGGGATTAACATAATCAGGCTCCAGGGTCCCCGGGGCTCTGTGCTTGTAGTCATCCAGTAGTAACATCTTTCATTTGATGCGAGGTTCTTTGATATCTGCAAAATAACTTAGGAAATGTGCATCAAATACTGTTGCCTAGGTACTTCAGAGAGGGACTAAATTAGAGGATTGTGGTGATGGGGAAGACTCTGGAGAGGCCCTTGGACTGCAAAGACATCCAGTCAATCCTAAAGGAAATCATCCCTGAGTATTCACTGAAAAGACTGCTGCTGAAGCTGAAGCTCCAATACTCCAATACTTTGGCTGTCTGATGGGAGCTACTCTCTAGTTTCTGTGTACATGCTTCTCTTGGCGGTGGCCTCTCTCGTTTCAGAACATGGGCTCTAGGGTGTGGGCTGTAGAGCACAGGGTCCATAGTATGCCACACAGGCTTTAGTTGCTCCAAGGTATGTAGGATCTTCCCGGACCAGGAATCAAACCCATGTACATTGTTCATCTGCATTGGCAGGTGGATTCTTTACCACTGAACCACCAGGGAAGCACCCCTAATTCTTTAATATCTTTTTACAACACCAACTGGTTAATTTCTTCCAAGAGGATACTATGTACAAACACCTGTTTGTATGTATCCACCTGTTTTGTAACCTTAACTCAAATATGTAAACTTTCTTCCCAACAGGACAGTATCACAAAATATTAGAATGCCAAAAAAAGAAAAAAAATTAGAATACCAGATATATTTACATCCTGAGAATGTGATGGGGGTAAGTATTATTTATTTAATACATAGCTAGCAAAAACAAGTCTAAGATAAGAACAAGGATTTATCTTAAAGTTACTCAAATAAGTATGAAGTTTTATTAAGATCTTCTATAAACACATCTATTCGCTACTGAAAACTGAAACAGCGCATCAAACATTTTTATTACTATTTAACACACTAATAAGGCTCTGGCCAAGCCAGCCAATGTTATCTTTACATTCCTTCCCAAGTTAATTTGTTTCAAATTCTTGATATTGAGTTTCATCTTATAGCAAACTTCAGGTTTAAGAAACAGGCAATACCTGAGACTTAAGTAGTACTTCTTGGTGTCAGATCAAAGTGGAACTAGTGTATATTCAAATCATCTCAAATCCAAGCTACATATAGATTCCTCGTAAGTTAACTGTATTAAGGTAGAAAAGAGATGCAAGTAAAAAAGACAAACTTACAATATACATTATCAAAATATTGGTACAATCTTTCCCAAGCTGCTTCATAATGATCCTAAAATTACCAGCAAGAAAACAGTACAAGAATAAGGTTTATGACTCATTTGATTCCATGGCATAATTACTGTATGTTGTGTTATAATAATTCTCATAATTATCATCAGAAGGATTTCTGTTAAACTGGCAATAACTACAGGTACACTGGAATCTTCTCATTCTTGATTGAATCTGGAAAAAAGAATGAGACGGATTAACTGGCTAATAATTTGAAATAATAAATTACTTCTACACCCAAGTGATATTAACTTACCACAAATGTAATATTGGCTATTAGAACAACCTTTGGAATACAAAACACTAAAAAAATGTCAAAACAAAAAACTTTGGGGAAAAAAACAAACTGAAATGGATGGCTGCCAAAGAATGCTAGATTTTCATCTTGTAATGGCCACTGATTGTCAATAAATATATTCCTGTACAACTCAGGAAACAGAGCCAATATTTTATAAAGATAAATGGAATAGAACTTTTAATTGTGAGTCACTGTCTTACACCTGTTAACTTTTTAATATTGTGTATCAACCATACTTCAATTTTAAAAAGGAAATATGTATATGTGTGTGTGTGTATAGGAATACATATGCTTCAGTTCTCTGAAGTGTTATGAACTGTATCAGTCATGTATAACTCTTTGTGACCCCATGGACTATAGTCAGTCAAGCTCCTCTGTCCATGGGATTCTCTAGGCAAGAATACTGGAGTAGGTTGCCATTCCCTTCTCCAGGGGATCTTCCCAACCCAGGAATCAAAATCAGGTCAAATTCAAGAATTGAATTTAGTTCTCTGAATGTCTTAAATATGAGATACTCAACCATTTGCTGGACACTCTGTGCACAGGTGTTCACCCTCTTACTACTTGGTACAGAACATCATGTTTGTGACAGCAGGTTAAAAAGCATAAGCACCTGTGACACCAAGAGTGAAGCTGAATGGAAACCATAGGCTTTAGGTGATGATTATAATGTGTCAGTGTCTGTTCACTATGCAGCACCCCAGGTGGCTCAGTGGTAAAGAATCTGCCTGCAATGTGGGAGACCTGGGATCAGTCCCTGGGTTGGGGAAGATCCTTTTGAGAAGGGAGGAGCAACCCACTCCAGTATTCTTGCCTGGAGAATCCCATGGACAGAGGAGCCTGGTGGGCTACAGTCCATAGGGTCTCAAAGAGTTGGACATGACTGAAGTAACTTAGCATACATGCATATATTTTTAAAAACACAAATATGAATGGATTGACCCAGAGTTTCTGAAGAGTGAGATAATCCAAGCCAATTTGCCACTCTTCCTCCCCTGCAAACCAGATGCCCACCCAACTATATAGTAAGAATTTCTACTTACCTCAGTGTCCTGCTGCTGCTGTAGTTCTCTTTGAGAGTCAGACTTTGTGGGAAGAAAAAAAAGACATATATTACAAGCTATCAAGCAAAATTCAAGTTACACATTACAAATTCAGTGCCACACATCTAACCTAAGAGGAGTCAGAGACTCTTAAAACCCTAAGTGTCTTTCACACCTGCACTCATGAGTACAGTGGATGAGTGACTGCTGCTGCTCATCAATATTTATATTATTTTTTTGTGGCTGAACCCCAGGGCTTTGAGGTCCCTCCCAGGGATAGAACCTGTGCCTCCTGCAGTCGAGTTCGAACCCCTGGGAGTCCTAACCACTGGACCACAGGTAATTCCACCACCTGCCCCCACCACCACCCTCCCGCCAATATTTACATCTTGATATTTGTGAGTGCCCCCTTTTTCCCTCCCCAGAGTGGCTCAGTGCTGCCTACCCAGAACTCACACGAGGAACTCCATTGGCATAGCGAAGTCTAAGAGATTCAATCAGCTTTTTCATCCTGTATCTCCGCTCACTCAACACCGTTCTTACCCCTCTCCGCCTATTTGGTGTTTTCTCACTAAGTAACTGCCCGGTTGGTTGAGATGGGTATTCTGGTATATACGGCAACTTGATACTAGGGTTGAGAGTCAAGTTACTGAGGTTCGTTGCTAACATTTCAGAGAGTTGAGTGGCAACTGAAAGAAAAAGAAAATTAAGATTGATTAAGGCAAATTGCAACATCCAGAAGCCACTTAGCTCTCGCCCAAACTAGGTCTGCTCTTAAGCAGCTCACAACCACAACAGTGGACAATGGGAAGTTGCTCAGAGTGAAGACAGACCCTGGATACCATGGGCGGTTAACTAGCATGTGCATGCCCTTAAGCCTGGTGGAATCCACCACAATGGGAAACACTTTTCTCAAAACTTGTTTTCATGCTGTTATGAGTAGTTCTGAGTGTTAAATGTTTTCCCATGGGGTCATATGTGTGTATGTAATTTATGTATGTGCTCAGTCATATTTGACTCTTTGCGGCTCCATGGACTGTGGGCCCCATGGGATCCTCTGTCCATGGAATTTTCCAGGCAAGAATA